CCTCTCCTTCTCTCTGTGTAACTCTGACTTTCAAGTAAATAAATCTTTAAAAAAAAAAAAAAAAGTTGATTTAGAAAATAGGCAGAGAAAGTCAAGCAAAACACTTAACACAGTTATTGGCAAATGAAAAAGGTTAAGACTTCCCAGGGCCTGAATTCTTAAAGAAATACAATTTCAGAACTTGGCAATAGAAAACAATTATTTTTATAAACATTAAATATTGTATTTCATTCCTTTTATGAGATTCAATAATTTTAACATTAAAAACTATGTATATTCTTTACAGTTTAAAACACAAGAGCCCAAAAGAGAATGTTCCAGACACCTACAGGCATCTCCTTTTCATTATACTGTTCTTAATCCAGGATGAAAAATTTCTCTTAAAAACACAGAATGTAACCCTATAGCACCCCCCACTGTGTTCTTCATCCCTGGTGAAACCACTGGCAGCCTTTCTGTTTCCTGAGCAACCATTCCATCATTCAGTTGGCCCAACACTGTGGGGGGAAAAAGACGACAGCAAATGCTTGACATTTTGATTTCGGAAGATCCTTCTATGTGTTTTTGCATTTTACAAACTTTGCAATAAAAAAACCAATACAATCCTTATTTGCCAGCCAAATCATGTCTTCCATTCTGGCGTTTTTAAAGGAATCAATGTCAGTGTCCTGCAATGGCACAACAGATGGATCAAATCGCTGCAGCTGTTTCAATTGTTCTAATGATAGGCCAGCTCCCACCATTCCTTCTCCTCCAATTAGGGGTTCCTGTTGGGAGAAAATTAATATGAATGAACATCCTATAATTAGTAGGCCTCATACAGTGTAAATTAAAAGATGAATTAAGTTATATCTACAAATCTTCTGAAAAAAGAAAAATGAGTACATACCTTTTATTTTTGTGGAGTGTACCTGCTCAGTACGGGGGAAAGCAGTATTACATGTTGATCTGATGATATAGTATACTCATTGGTGTACCTACTTCTCAAAAGGACTGAGCTTCCTAGTCAGAAGCATAGAGATGCAAACTGCAGCTGGGTCACATTTCAGCTGTATGACCTTAAGCTAGTAATTTTACCTAGACCCATTTCCTCATTAAATACTCAATTCTGAGGATTAATGAAAGCATGAGTATGGCTGGCATAAAGCAGGCACTCATGATGTGGAACACTATTACCAAGAAAGCAACAGATAACATTCAGCTTTTTTTCTAAAACTGCAAAAGATGTTTCTTAGACATCTAAGATGCCACTCTCTGATCAGTTTGTTGTTTATGTTTATAGAAGTCAAAACATTAGAAAAAGGGACACATAAATTAAGGCTACATCAGTTAATCTGAAGGATCATAGTATCATAAGAAATTGAATGATTCTTAGAAACTACTACTGCAAAAGATCCAAAATTCTAACTTCATATAGTTTATTATCCTGTAGAGTGAAGGGTAATACACTCTTACTTCTTTTAGGTATATATTCACTTCCAAGTAAATTCTGAAGTCTTCCTTTTATTTGCAATATAATCAGCTTAATTTCTGAATCTAAAATCTACCTCTGGATTGTTTTTATTTATTTATGTATTCTTACTACCTCCCAGAATTATCTATGGGAAGGTACTAAAGTATCTGCTCAATGTATATGAATGAACATGAAAATTACTGTAGATTTAAACTTAATTCCAAACATCATGGGCTAAAAAATTGGATTCTACAGTCCTAACAAAAATCAAAACCAAAAGTTAAACTAATACTGGGTAAAACAAAGAAAGCTTTTTATATAATAAAATATAAATCAGTACTAATCCTGAATTACATTTTCCTCTCTTGGCTGGTCTTATGATATCTCACATATACTAAAGTTGGTTTGGACTCTAAGTACTCAACCTTTTGCATATCACAGAAATAAATAGGGCTTGGAAAGAAAAATTATTTGGAACAAAATGCTGAGAAACATAAATAACAGCTACAAGTGGAATAAATATGCAACAAAAATATACCAAGCTCTGCGCCATTTCAATGTAATGTAAAGGAAGAGAGAGGAAAAACTGTCAGGACATGAAAAGCCACAATGAACAGCCTAAAATGGATCTGATTAGGGAAATAGTCTTACTTACTACACTATTTGTTTCAGTAGTTTTACTTGACATTATTTCTTCATATGATACTTTGCGTATATCATCATGCTTCATTTCTGCGAGTTACTGGATGATACACAGAAAAATGAAAATATTCTTACCTGGGGCTGAAGCTGAAGGCAAGGAAATGTGGCGAGGGCCCAGGCGACTTGCTCTTCATTTTCTGCCAGTGTCACCGTGCATGTGCTGTATACCAGCACGCCCCCTGGCTTCAGCAGCTGAACTGCCTGAAGAAAACTACGATCAGACCATGCATACCACAAGATCCAATCAATAGCCAGAGGGATTTTATAGCATCGATACTTTTCAAGTATTCCAGATAAACCAAATGTTCTTTATAATAAGGGTCCCTTCTCCAGTTCGAGCAGTACTTGCATTCTAGACTAACTTGGAGCTGTCATACTTCGTATGAATCATTCCATGCCATTAGATACCATTTTTATGCTGAAAACACAAATTTACTTTTAGGCCAGACTTCCTTTCTGAATTTCATACTCATATCAGTTGCTTTCTCAACATTTCTCAACAGAAGTCTTTCTTCCTTAAAGATGTCCAGGCCCAGACGTTTGATATCCTTTATGCCTCTCTTTCTCTCACCCTCGTCATCCATCCGCAACCTCTACTAGTGGCTTTACCTTCAAAATATATCCAGAGTGGTCGGTGCTGTGGCAAAGCGGGTAAAGCCGCCGCCTTCAGTGCCAGCATCCCATATGGGCGCCAGTTCAAGTCCTGGCTGCTCCACTTCTGAATCAGCTCTCTGCTATGGCCTGAGAAAGCAGTGGAAGATGGCCCAAGTCGTTGGGCCCCTGTACCAAGGAGGGAATACCTGGAAGAAGCTCCAAGCTGTGGGTTGGCAGAGCTCCGCTGTTGTAGCCTACTGGGAAGTGAACCAGCGGATGGAAGACCTACCTCTCTCTGCCTTTCCTCCTCTCTCTCTAACTCTTTCAAATAAATAAATAAATAAATCTTTAAAAAAGATACCCAGAATTTGGCCACTTCTCACTACTACTACTGCTATAATTCTGGACCAATGCTTTTTATCTTTTGTTTGGATTATTCATTCCAATAGTCTCTTATTTCATCTACCTGCTTCATTCCCTGCCTTCACAATCTATTCTCAATACAGTACCCACAGCAGTCCTTTTAAACTTTCCACCTTTTTTTTTTTTTTTTTGAAAGCTTTTATTTAATAGGTACAGCTTTAGGAATATAGTGGTTCTTTCCCCCATACCTGCCCTCCCACCTCCTACTCCCTCTCCCATCCCATTCTTCATTAAGATTCATTTTAAGTTATATACAGAAGGCCAACTCTATTCTAAGTGAGGATTTCAATAGTTTGCACCCACACAGACACACAAAGTATAAAGTACTGTTTGAAGACAATAAACTTTCCACTTCTTGCATCATACCCTTCAACTGTCTTTCATTATCACTTACAATCAACACCAAAGTCCTTGAAAAGGCCTTTAAGAACCTAACTAGGGGCTGGCACTGTGGCGCAGTGGGTTAACACCCTGGCCTGAAGTTCGAGACCTGGCTACCCCACTTCCGATCCAGTTCTCTGCTGTGGCCCAGGAAAGCAGAAGATGGCCCAAGTCCGTGGGCACCTGCACCCATGTGGGAGACCTGGAAGAAGCTCCTGGCTCCAGATCAGCATAGCTCTGGCCACTGCAGCCGACTGGGGAATGAACCAACAGATGGAAGACTCCCCCTCCCCTTCTAACTCTTTCAAATTAAATAAATAAATAAATATTTACCCAAAAGAAAAAAAAAACACCTAACTAAACAAGTCTTGTTGCATGTCTAACCTCCCTTCCCCGTACCTCTTATGCTTGCTCATTCTGCTTTACCAACACTGGCCACCTGCTGTTCCTGGAACATGTAAGGCACTAGCACTTTAAGATGCTTGCCAGCAGCTTGGGAAGCTCTCCTAATCCTCTGCATTGCTTGCTCCTTCACAGTCGTCTTTGTTTCTTGTCACCTTTTCTGCAACACTCTTCCTGACTACCCTATGCAGAACCCCAACAACTCCAATCCAGCACTCCTATCCCACCTGCCTTTTTCAGTTTGTTCTGTAAGTCAACAGCATCACTGTCTCGTGTTACATAACTTCCTCATTTATTTCACCTCCCAAGTTAGAACAGAAACCTCATGAATAAAAGCATGGATTGTCTGCTTTTTCACTACTGTGTGGTCAGCGTCTAGTATAGTCTCTTGCAAAGAGCATGTACTCAATGAATATGAGGTATCTTCATAAAGTTCATGAAAAATGTCCACTAATGAAAAGCCACGATACATGGATTTCAAAAAGTTTTGCATCAAAATAACCTTATAACTCCATTTTTCCACAAACTTTTTGAAGTATACTTTGTATGAGTAGGAAACAAGGTGCTGTGCTAAAACAAACATGTTCCAAATATTTAAGTTCATCTTTTTAAAGTCCCAAGTTTTGCCGGCGCCACGGCTCAATAGGCTAATCCTCCGCCTAGCGGCACCGGCACACCGGGTTCTAGTCCCCG